GGCACAAAAGTGTATTTTACTATCTTAATTTAATAAAAATAATGAATATTGTTATGAAAGCCACGCCCAGTCAATGAGCTACGCCCTCTTTAAGATTTGCAAAAGATGCTTGGCATGAAGATGTTCTTATGTTGTGTAGAAAGTTTGAGATGATAGTTTTGATAAAGTTTAAATTTTTAAAGTTGTTCAAAAATCAGGTCAAAGTACACTTGTGTAAACAAACATTTTGAAGTGATAATTTTATATGCATTGTGGTTTAACACAAATTACAAGAATAAAAACATTCCAAAAATTCATTCTCTGGGGAAAAAAAATGAGGCTTGCTCTTTTAAAAATTTTAGAAGTTCAGCTTTGTATATCGACCATGTATTAAGCTCAAAATTTCCTTCTTTGCTCATATAAAAAAATTTTTTATTGCTCCATTTGCCCTTTTTCACTTAAAACTATTGTCTTTCAACTAACATAAATATTTTTATAGCTATAACACAAACGCAATATGCATTAATTTAAGTGGTAGCATTAAATATATGTTTATTTGCATCACTAATAGTGTGTATGATAAAAGACAAGTGTGAACATTATTTAAAATGTGGTACTTCATATTCAGGAGTCTCAGGACTGTTCGATGATCTATTCATTAATGTATTTTATTTTCAATTAATGCAGTAACTAACTTTGCTTTAAAATCAATTGTAGCATAAGTTGGAATGCTTTGCAATGCAATGTTATTCTCTGGTTTTCTATAAGCCATAACTTTAAAAATGTCATTGTAATGAATGTTCATTTACCTCTTTTGGTCTGTTCTTTTCACATGCAAAACAATTACCAATACAGCCAGTGCTATGATGGGTATATAGACAACAGTCACACCAATGATCAATCCAGTGGTAGTTACAGTAGTTTCGGCAGTAGTTACAGTACTTGATATTGTAGGATGAAAAACTGAACAGAAACAGCAGAAAACTGTTAAATTATCACTATCATTAAAATAGCTATTAATTATGTTTTTTCTTCTTTTAATCATGACATACTGGTTAATGCTTAGTTATGATTGTTACATAACAACACAAAATAAAAACTTGACCTGATTGCTTTAAACAAAGTGACTATAATACGTATAGATCTATTAGTATATACTGTCTTACTTGTTGATGATCCTGTAACACTAATGACTGATGAAGTGCTTGATACAATAGTAGGAGTTAGAGTAATACCTAAATATATGAACTGAGTATTATTCATGTAGTGAGTTAGAATAGCATTACTAGGTGGTATTGGTTGAGTCCTCTCTCCTTCATAAATGATTCCATTAACATTAAATGATGTAGATATAGAGAACAAGTAGTTCAGATTAGGATCTAATCCTCCTATTAGACCTTCAGTATAGTATCACCTGGGAATACTCTCATTCCTGTCTCTACTTGTCTCTTCTTTCTTGAGGAGCTGCTGGTTGACTCATAATAGACAGTATAATGATTAGCTCCAGAAACAAAACTCCACTCAGCCCTCACTGCTGTAGAATTGAGCTTTGTTATAGAAAAGGTTTCAATGACAGCTAAAATTTAAAAACATCATCATAGACTAGTATTATCAATAATTTCTTACGTATTTCAATAGTAGTATATTATCTATCAGTCCATTCTCCTGGTCCAATACTAGTATATGCTCTCACTCCAATAGTATAACTAGTATTAGGTATCAATCCTACTATACTGTAATAAGTGTTAGTATATAGTGTTAGTTATATTGTATGGACCAGTACTGGTAGACTCTCTACTGGTAGACTCTCTATATCTTATCTCATATACTGTAATGATACCATTAGGTATTGTAGGAGGATTCCATGCAATAATTATTTCAGTTGGTGGCATTGAACTTTTTAGATCAGATATCACACCAGGAACTGTGTTAAGATCATGTTAAACTGATCAATATCTCATTGACTTACTTGATTCAGCAGATAATTGTATTTCTTGTCTAGCTGGTCCATTCATATTATAATTATAAGGTATTATACTCACAGTATAGTTAGTATATGGTATTAATCCTGTGAGATTATACATTCTGTTGTCTCCTCCAGTGATATTAACAGTATAACTAGTGTTTGAAGTGATGTTAGTGTATGTGAGGTAGTATCCAGTGATTGGTCCATTCCTTCCATTGCAAGGTACTTCATCCCATGAGACAGTCATTGACACTGACTCTACTGATGAGAATATAATATCACCCACTGGTGCAGTAGGAGCTAAATGATAGTGAAAAGGACAAATAACTATCAATAACAATTATTGTCTTACCAATTGAAAGTGTTTCAGCTGAATAAGCCATAGTCAATTCAGCTATATTGTGCTCAGCTCCATATACTCCAATAAGATCAAAGGTACATTGACTGTAAGGAGGTATACCAGTTGAAGTATGTGGTGATGAAACTGATGTTTCACTACTACTAGTGACTGATGATTCACATACTCTCCTACATCTCATATTAATATTATAACTAATTGGTACTACAGCAGTTGGTGGACTCCATGTTAATGTAATGGAAGTACTTGTAATTAGTGTAGCCATAAAATCATCAACAACAGGATCACCTAAAGCAAAACAATTATTGACTTATTTATGTTTTTAAATAGCTTACTAAATGTTAACATAACTGAAGCATTCCCACTAAGTAGAGAAACTGATCCATAAGATACTACATAGAAAGTGTATGTAATCCCTCGAATCAATCCTGATGTTATATTAATTGTTGTTGAAGTAGTAGTGCCTACACTAACAGGAGTAATACTAGACAGTTGATAGTAGACCTCATAACCAGTAGCTCCTGATACAGTAGACTAGGAGAGTCTTACATGAGCTAAACCAGTACTTAATCTTGTAGCAGTTAAACCAGTTGGAGTATCAGATACTAAAAAATTCATTTATTAATAAGAATTTTTTGATAATAACAACTAACCTAATATATTTAATGATGAAGTAACTCTGGCATTAGATACAGTACACTGATAGTTACCAGCTTCTCTCAGTCTCACTGTTACTGTCACTCTTGTAACAGATCCTGGTCCATTCACTATCACACGAGACAGTTCAGTAGATATTCCATTCCCATTCACTAAACAATTGACAGTAGTAGGAGGACCATCAGAGACATTGAAACTGAGACTGAAGACTGGAGGAGTAGCTAATCTACTAGTGGAGAGGAGAGAAAACTGCATAGTAGGATCAGCATCAGGACCATCTGTAAAAGAAGTACATTAATTATAGTCTATATTTGTCACATACGATTGTTATTGTATCCAGTATCAGTATATGCTCCAACCACTAGTGTTTGATTAACTCCATTCTCATCAGGAATGATACACTTGTATAAACCTTCGTATCCTGATAGTCCACCTCTTCTAGCTAGTGCAATCTGACCACTGAATCTCTTACTGTACACTGGTCTAGGAGCTAATGGATCAGTGAAGTTTCCATCAAT